AGGCTCATGTCATACGTTGTATGTGGATATACCGGCACAAATTTCATGAAACGGGACTCTTGCACGATATAAAAGCACGCTTAGTCGTTAATGGAAAATGCCAACAAGTCGGAGTAGACTGCAATGAAACATTCAGTCCCGTAGTAAAACCTTCCACAATCCGTATAGTTCTTAGTCTTGCCGTTTCCCGATCATGGCCTATACACCAACTAGATGTAAAGAATGCATTCTTACATGGGAATCTCAACGAGACTGTGTATATGTTCCAACCCCCTGGTTTCACGGACACACAACACCCAACACATGTTTGTCGGTTACGAAAATCTTTATACGGGCTTAAACAAGCCCCGAGAGCTTGGTATCATCGCTTTGCAACATTCATTCACACATGTGGTTTTAAAAGTACCAAAAGTGATACCTCTCTTTTTGTCTTCCAACGAGGCACAAAAATGGCATATCTTCTTCTTTATGTGGATGACATCGTCTTGACCGCTTCTGATGACACAACTCTTCGACACTTCATCACTCTATTATCCAAAGAGTTTGCTATGTCGGACCTTGGGCCTCTTCATCACTTCCTCGGCATCCAAGTGAAACATCAAAATGGAGGATTATTTCTTACCCAAGAACAATATGTGGATGATATTCTTCACCGGGCGAACATGCAACAATGTAAACCTTGTGCCACTCCTGTTGACACTAACTCTAAACTCAGCACAACTGTCGGCGACCTAATGCAAGACACGACTCTATATCGCAGCCTCGCTGGAGCATTACAGTACTTAACCTTCACTCGCCCCGACATTGCGTATGCTGTCCAACAAGTATGCCTCTTTATGCATGCCCCTCGCGATCCACATTTTAACTTTCTGAAACGTATTCTACGATACCTCCAAGGCACCCGTAATCATGGACTCCATATTTCTCCCTCCAAATCTACAAAACTCACTGCATACTCCGACGCAGATTGGGGGGGATGTCCCGACTCTCGACGGTCCACATCCGGCTATTGTGTATTTCTCGGTGATAATCTCATTTCATGGTCGTCCAAACGACAACCAACTATCTCCCGGTCCAGTGCCGAAGCCGAGTACAAAGGCGTTGCCAACGCCGCAGCTGAAACTACATGGCTACGCAACTTACTCCTCGAGCTCCATCTTCCGCTTCGCCAGGCAACGATTATTTATTGTGACAACATTTCAGCTGTATATCTTACTCAAAACCCGGTTCAGCACCAACGCACGAAGCATATTGAGATTGACATCCATTTCGTTCGCGAAAAAGTTCGCATGGGTTCCCTTCGCGTTCTACATGTCCCTGCTGATTACCAATACGCAGATATATTTACCAAGGGATTACCCCGTCAGCTATTCACCCGCTTCCGTTCCAGTCTCTCTATTCGGCCAGCCAACCATTCGACTGCGGGGGAGTATTAACCAAAATATACACCTTCTGTATATTTCCGATCTTATATTTACTGTGTAATTAATGTAAATTAGTACTTCCTTATTTAGCCTAGATTTTCCCCAATTTCCTCCTGTAATCTCTCTGTACATTGGGTATTTAATCCTCTCCTTTATCAGTGAAAGGCATCGATTCTTTTGTAATTATAGTACTTTCTCGGAATCTCGGCGAGCAAATATAGAAAATTGTAACCCGTGCAAGAATCCGGTTGATCCAGCTGTCAGATTGATAAGCTGGAAAACCAGTTTCCCACCCTTTTCACTACTCCAGTCTTGCGGGGGCATTGTAGTACGTAACATTTACTGGACCGCTTTTGCTGTTTAGCAAGTGTGTGTTTACATGCACAATCCCTAGGAATGAAACCTTCACGCACTCAAGTGCATCCAACGCTACATCCCAGACACTCTAGACCACAAACTTCCATTACTTCCTTGGCTCTAACAAATTACTCGTTGACAATCTAGTATTGTGGTTCGCCAAACGACAACACACCATTTCCAGAGCGTTGAGGCCAAGTATCGGGGCTTAGCCAAAGCTGTGGTTGAAACTGCATGGCTTCACAATCTCCTGCGAGAACTTCATCTCTCAACTTGTTATGCTGCTATTATCTCCTGTGACGATGTTGATGCCATATACATGTCAGCAAATCTGGTTCAACATCAGCGAATCAAACACATCAAGCTTGATATAAACTTGATCAGAGACAAGGTTGACATCGGTCATGTTCGCGCCCTTCATATATATCCCGTCCAGATATCAGTATGCTGACATATTCACCAAAGGGCTTCCATCTCCTTAATTTGTTCACACATAGTTTCGTATCAGTTTGATTGTTACTTCTATATCCCCCTCAAACTGCTGGGGCATCTTAGTAGACAGCTTATAATCCGTCAAAGTTCTTGTAGGTTAGCGCATGTATATCCCAAGCTTTGTATTTGGTGTATATATATATATATATATATATATATATATATATATATATATATATATATATATATATATATATTGTTGTATCATGTACATTCATGATTCAAGGAAATATACCAAATATTAATCAGAAGAATCCTTTAATTTTTATTGCTAAACTAATTTAGTTACTTTGATTTCAAAATATTTCAGTTTGGGACGAAACATATCTAAACACATTAGTGCAAGCAATAACCATACATAGAACCAAAATAGATTTTGATACGAATTAATTCCAATTTGTTTTGAGTTTTTAAATTCATTGGGGTCCCAATATTATTTATAGGAAAACCACAGGGATAATCTCAAGATTTCACTTGAAGACATAAACTTGGCCACTAATAACTTCAGTGATAACAACCTCATTGGAAGAGGAGGATCTGCGAGAGTTTACAGAGGGGAAGTTACTCGCGCTAACCGATGTCATACAGTTGCTGCAAAACGATTGAATAGCGATGGTGGTCAACACAAAAATGAATTTATGACGGAACTTGAAATTCTTCAGGATTATAAACATGAGAGTGTCATTAGTCTTGTAGGCTTTTGCTACGAAATTGTCGAAAATATTATTGTTTATGAATTTGCATCTAGAGGAAGTCTAGTTATGCACTTGAAGGACTATGCCCTTACATGGATGAAACGGCTTCAGATAAGCATTGATATTGCCAGCGGGTTGGATTTCCTTCATGGATCTGGAGGTGATAGACAAGAGGTGGTGATACATAGAGACATCAAAAGCTCAAGCATTCTACTCACTGATGATTGGAAAGCAAAAATTTGTGATTTTGGGCTTTCATTAATAAGTCCAATAAATAGTGAAATGGACTTTGTCACCGACAATGCTTGTGGCGCAATAAATTATCGTGACCCAGTGTACTTGAAACTCGGCTACTTAACAGCGCACTCTGACATCTACTCGTTTGGTGTAGTTTTAATTGAGATCTTATGTGGAAGATTAGTACATGAAGACAACAGTATCCAAATTGCAGATCTAACAGATTTGTATAAAAATCATTATGAAAATGGAACACTAAATGAGATCGTGTTTGGAGGTATAAAGGAACAAGTTGTGCCAGAATCATTGATTACATTTCAAAATCTTGCTTATGAATGCTTATATCATGAAAGAGAAAAGCGACCAACAACACATGACGTGCTACTACGACTGAAGAAAGCATTGGAATTTCAAGTAAGATTACGTTTTATTTGGAATTTCTTTTCATTTATTGTGTTGACAATGTGTAAATAAATAGGTATAAAGGCATAACTAAATTAAAAGTTTGTATGAATATTAAACAATATTTTTTCATAAGCAACAAATAAATAGAGGGTATGAGTAATATTATAAAGACCATTTGTTGGTTGAATTTATTATTTTCATCGTAAAGTGAAAAAAGAAAAAGAATATATGAATGAAATTGAGTTGCTTATTAAAGTGCAAATAATTGTGTGGTGCTAGAATTGAAATATTGATTTTCTTATTGATAAAAAATATACAGGAAGATTATGTAATATGGAAGCCCAAATTGCCTAATGACTATGAAGAAATATTCAAGATGTCAAATTCTTGTGATGTCTACTCTACCGAAAAGAAAAAGGAACTCTACAACATGCTCTGCAAAGGAATCCTTCTTCAACATGACAAAGTGGTAATTAGCTCCTTCTCATATCCATCCATGTTCTGTTTTCTGTACAATCCAAGCATTTTTTGTTCTTTAAAATTCATGAAGGCCGATAGACATTTTCGATTTTCCAGTTTATGTAATTTTACTCGATCGTTCAAATGTCCGTATCTTAAAGCACCACAAAATAACCCCCCAAGTTTAGAACTAAAGTACTCTTGCTTCTGATTGTTCACAATTAGGGGCACTGTCAGTTCCAGCACCGATTCCGATGTGAATTGTTTTGGTTCGGTTCCTAAAATATGGAACTGATAGGGACCGGTTTTGATTTTGGTTTTGTTTCTTACTTTTTTGAACCTTTACCTGTTGGGTACCATTTGGAACCGATTTCGAGATACTATGTGTTCTCTTAATGTTTTATTATCTACAAACTTGACTCAACTTTTGCATTTCTTTAAACCGGTCAAACGAAAACTAATTATGTTTATACAAGAATACTTGTTAAACTAATCGTCATTTTTGTTAAATGTTAATAGGATTTAGTAGCAAACGTGATTTGATAAAGATCCCTACAGGTTGATGTATTGGTTTCAAGAGACTTCATATTAAATAATAAAAATGATATTTTGTTATCTCCTAAAAATGGATACTTGAATTTATATTGCTTGCTAATATATACTAGCAATATAATGTTTCTGTCATTTCCTACTATATAATATAATGCTAAAGACAGTCCATTGTATTTGTGATAGATATATCTTTAGTCACTCTTGTCAATTTGGAAAGCTGGGCTTTATATTTCTTGTTAGTAATGATACAACTTCTCATGCAAAATAGAAAATAGTGATCCAATTAATAGTACTAGTTAAATTTGTAACTGTGTGCCAAACGCCTCCTTAGGTTTTATAGGTTGAAATGATTAATGCTTATCATTTATAATAGTTTTATTATTATTATTATTATTATTAGTATTTTTGGTTTGAACTTTGTAATGGATTTGGTTTTTATGGTTTCTATTGTTATATTTATGGTTTGTAATTAATGACTACATTTAAAAAAACTTTAAGAACCACACACCCAGTACCTGAATGGGTTCCAAATTCTAAGGACCACTGTTCTAGTACCCACTTATGCTCACCATAAATGACAATTGCTTTCCATGACATCCTTTACACAAAATATCATTCATTATTTACGCTATTTTCAATTCTTTTAATTTAAATGAACATTTCCATACGAATCGGCATGTACTTACAAATAATAGAAACTGAGTTTGATTTATTTTGTCTTGTATAACAGTTGTTTTCACTAGGAGATAATGGAGAAAGAAATGAAATGATATCAGCACGAAAGTTTTCATACAAACACAGTCTGTCACATAAGTGGCAATCTATTCCAGAATCAAGGTTCCACTCTCTTTCTCAGTGTCGATGTGTTTTTATGTGTGGGTGTAAAGATGCACCCTCCTTAATTTCATTGTAGTTTTGGATAGGGATTCGGATTTAAACATTAATATGCTACGAAATATGCAGGTTTCCTAAAGTAGCAAAGATGTCAGATCTCTCGAATCTAAAGATCCGATTAAAGATAAGACCTCAACTTTTAGCTCGTGGTGTCAATTATAGTGTTCGTCTCTTCTTTAAATTTTGTGGTCCAAGAAAATCTCTAGCTAAAGGGATGTACGTGAACTTGAAGTACAAATTGGGGATCGAGACCTTACATGCATATTTTGCAACTTGGAGAGAAGATGGATGGATGATGATTGAATTGTGTCGATTCTCAATTGACAAGGAAGATATTGATTTTGAGTTTCTACTAGAGAGCTTTTCACGATGCTATTGTGGAAGTCGTGCCATCTATGTCGAAGGCATTCAGTTTCTAGCCATTGACAATGCAAGTTTCAAAATATTCTTTGGTTCCCATTCTATATGCTTTGTTTGTATACTGTAACAAAGGATTCACGGACAACATTTTCACGTTCTAGGTTACATGTTTATAACATCCTCGTACAACTTGTGTGCAGGTGAAAGATGAAGAGATCGATGAATTAAAGAATGTCCCAAAAGTCTTGAAATCAGACTTAAATGTGGTCCAGTTGCAAAAATTGCCAACTAATTGTGAAGAAATATTTAATGATGGTGAAAAGATTCTTTTGCTGGTGAATGGAAAGAAACATCTTATGCTTTCAGCGAAGGCGGCTCTTTTGGAATATCCTAATGCAATGCCATTTCAAATGAAACCATCAACGCAATCCAGGTTTGTGATTTGAATCCAACTTAATTATGCCTATAAAAGTTTAGAAATGCTTAGCCTTGTTTAGCTAAATGTAAAAAAATTGATCATGCTAACCAAGATGTCATAATTGGAAGTCACAGTATTGTGTATTTGATAATAAAGTACCAATGTCGCATCAATACCTTATTGAGAAAAGTTATATTTTATCCAAGTGATTTCAAAGACTTCAATAAAAGGTATGTATGTAATGACATGTTATATGTATCTGCAGATTCGGAGAGGAGATCGAGCTCCTACCACAGCAAGTACTTCGTATCAATTGCAGGATAAAAAGCGAATGGTTATCCGGAGATACGGAGTATGTGTGCTACCTTGTATTTAAGATTTCAGAAAAATGTATTGGGCTGCATTGTCCTGTGAAAGTACATAATTTACTCCATGGAAACAACAAAAAGCCTGAAATTCTTTATTTTAGATGCCCAAGGCCTTGGAATTTACATGATACAAATCAAGCTCCAAAACAACGGGCCGACGGATGGATGGAGGTTAGGGTTTGGAAATTGAACTCAAAGCACAAACTTGAAAATGATCATTTTCATGTCAAATTGAAACTAATTATTTACGAGGGGACTATGTCAGGCCTTATCTTATGTGGTCTGGAATTTCGAGCAATGTAAGAATATATACAGTGAAATGATGAATGCAAACTCACTCAACAATACATTTGTGCATTCTTACGTATATATTATTTTTTATATAATAAATAAACATGTAGCAATATAATCGCAACAATCTTTTTAAGATTTGTAATCTTACAAATTAAATTAGGGGTGTTATTCGGGCCGGAACCAGACCGGATCTGAATAAACTGAAAACCAAATAAGACTAATTAGAGAAATTGATCGAAAGTCAGATTGATTAATCCAATACAGGTTTGTTCTTATCCGAATAAATTGAATTGAATAACATTTACAATATGACTAAGAACCGAAAAGAACTGAATAAACCGTATTGTATGGTACTTAAAAAAAAAAAAAAAAACTTAGAGGATTGTTTTTGTAATTAGTTAAGATATTAGATATGTAATAAGATATACTTTCGGATGTATTAAAGTATTTATGTCTTTGGGTTTTACAGCTTTTTAAATAATCTAATATTTTATGATGTTAATGTTAAATGCTAACTCATATCAATTCATCTATAAAAAATATAACGATTGATATATGCATGCATCCAAGAAACGAACCGGATCGGTCCGATTCCTTTAGAACCGATTAAACAGTTATTTGGATAACCCAGACTGAAATACCTGAAAACCAAATAGCTAAGTCTAAAATACATATTCGAGAACCGAACCGGATAGTTTATTTGGTTCTAATTCGGTTCGGTTTTTGTTGCAGTTTAAGTATTCTGTTCAAACGCTAAGCCCTATTGATATACAAGTTATAAAAAAGTTATTTTATTGGAAAATGTAAGAAACAAGGTCATCTTATTCGTCATGATATTAAGTAGATGTGTATGCATTCCTCCTATAAGTAGGACCATATTGGAATAATATTCAACATCTCCTACAATGTCTGAACCACCATCCCACTCAGAGTTTAGGAAGGTTAAGGCTTCAGGGGTAGATGACGGGCAAAACCGTGGTTGTTCCGGTAATACCAGTAACAACCGATCGTTTGAAGATGTGGCTCCAAGACCTGAGTCTTTTATCGAAGATGAAGATGTACAAGATCCCTATGTTAACCCTCCTTCACGTAGTAAGGTGAATCCTCACGCAAAGACTTCAGGTACCGAAGATTTGATAGTCAAAGATGGAACCACTACTAAGCTACCACCTGGGCTCTCAGATCTGATTCGTCGTGACGATAAATAACTGTGAGATGTTCTAAATTTCATTGTTGCGATCTTAATTGGAGAGTTCTACCGTGTGTTTCTTTGATGTACTTTTCCACATATGTCGCGTTTTTTCAGAAGTTCATCGTTGTAATTTTAAGGTCTCGTTTCTCTTTTCTCCTAATCTCGTCAAAATATATCAAAAAATCAACTGATGTGTATTTCTTCCTTGATTAGGATGGACATAAAAATTTAAAGTTGATGAACACTCAGTATGAACTCTTTGATTGAAACAGCTCTCGCATTTAAAGAATAAACCGAGAATATCCTGATGCGATTAATATATAGTTTGGACATTTACAACTAGACCCTTCTTTTTTATTTATTTTTATTTTTTTTATTCATTTTTATTTTTTATTTTTTATTTTTTATTTTTTATTTTTGTATATATATTGCAAATTAATCCTCAGCAGCACCAGCTTCACGCTTTAGGGCTTCAGGCTGCTTTCACTTTCTCTATTAGTTCCCGTTTGATAAGCTAACAGCAACTTAGGCCCACTTTTACTAATGTTTGATACATTTACCTATATAACCAACTAGGCTTGGCAATTGAGTTGGTTCGGGTTGGCGGGTCAGAATACATTAACCCAACCCAACGCATATAATATATGGGTTGGTGGGTGGTGGATCACGGGTTGTCGGGTTGAAAACATCAACCCAACCCAACCCATATAACCCGTATAAGTATATGGGTTCGTGGTTTGTGGATCAGTGGGTCGAACCCAATCCGTATAACTTATTTAATAAGTAATACATTTTAAAATGAAATTAAAAAATACAAATAAAATAAAATCATAAAGTCTTAAATATTCAACATAAAGTCATAAACAGAAGTGACGACGACGAGTGGTGTGCGTGCGATACCGCAACAGTCGATGACTCGATGCCTCAATCAACGAAGACGGGAGACACGGAGTCGTGAGTTTGGAGACTAAAGACTGATTTTTTTTTTTTTTTTTTTTTTTTTGAGTTGGGGATTCTTAGGGGCTAGGACACGCTAAGTCACTCTTGGAAAACCAAGACACACCCTATAGCTGATCGAACAAATCATCGATCCTCGGTAACGGATAACGGTTTTTCACCGTTAGCTTGTTTAGCTCTCGGAAATCAATGCACATCATGTGTGACCCATCCTTCTTTTTCATGAACAAGATCATAGCTCCCCACGAGTAACTGCTTAGACGGATAAACCCTCGGTCTAGCAGCTCTTGAAGCTGCATAGATATCTCCTGCATCTCAGGCGGTGCTATCTGGTACGATACCTTCGCTATCGGAGCGACACCCGACATGAAATCAATGCAAAACTCCACTTGCCTCTCCGGAGGCACTTCCGATAACTCATCGAGAAAGACATCCTAAAACTCCTGTACAACCAGCACACTTCCCACATCTGTCGTGGTCTCAACCCTCGTATCCAAGATATATGCCAGAAATCCCATACAACCTTGCTGCATAAATGTCCTAGCTCTCGCAGCTGAGCCGAGGGTCGGCCCTGCGAGGCCCTCTCAACCATGAATAACCCTCACTAGCTGGCGCTCATAATCGATCATGGCCTCGTTGGCCCCCAACCAGTCCGTCCCGACAATCACCTTTAGCCCTCACAACAATATCGAGACTAGATCAACACGAAACTTCTCACAAGAACATTCATGACACAATCTCGATACACCCTCGTAGCATTCATGGTGCGGTCATCTGTAATCTCCACCTCAAGCGAGGAATCCAAAGTTCCTGGCACATCCCAAAACTTCTTGCTAAGCTCAAGAGACACAAACGACCGGGTAGCTCCCGAATCGAACAAAACGTGAGCATATATACCATTGACCAAAAAGGTCCCTATATATAAGCACAATATACACATAAGCAATGCAATAAATCTAAAGCGGGAAGATAAAATACGTACCAAGCACAACGTCTGGCGCTGTCTGAGTTTCCTCGGTGGTCAAATGAAATGCGTGGCTCTTCATCGCTGGAGCATCCGCCTTAGCAGGGTGCCATCAATAATCCTCATCATATCGGGCGCAGGCGACGCCACTGCTCCTCCTCCTTCCTGCAACCTAGGATAATCGGCCTTTTTATGGCCAGCCTGATTGCAGTGGAAACAAATCAATCCCTTCTTGGGGCAGTCCCTTCTCAAGTGACTTGGCTGGCCACATGCATAACATCCTGAGCCCGCTATCCGAGAAGCCACACTGTGCAGTTTACTGTACTTGGCACACCGGCCCTGACCCTTCTGGCCCATACTAGAAGAATCTAAGGTCTTAGGCTTTTTAGCCTAACCTACTGCTGCCTGTGCCTGCTCAGGCTTCTGCTTGGTGCGAAAGTCCAACTCTATCTCTCGCTCACGGGCCTTCTCCACCATCTTATTCAGGGTATTGCACCATGTGAAGCTCACAAACTCCCAGATATTATCCCTCAGCATGGAATGATACCTTGTCCTCTTCATGTCCTCATCCATAGCATACTGTCAGATCAACAATGCTCGTTCCCAAAACTTGGCGGTAATCTCCGCCACAGTTTCGGTGGTCTGTTGTAGCTCTTGTAACTCCCCCACCAACTGCTACACCCTAATAGCTGGTGTAAACTCCAAATCAAATACCAAACAAACTTATCCCATGTCATCTCAGCGACACCGGCTACTACCACCTAACTAGTCACCTCTCCCACCAGTCTCGGGATCTGTCTCTCAACATACATGAATCAAAACCCACCTTTGTCGCATCAGGGCAAGAACTCATGCACTGGGCGTTCTCTATATCCACCACCGAACTTCGACAAACAATGGGGTCCTTGACCCCAAAAAACTACGGCTCCCCGCACGCCTTGAACTCTTGGAATGAGGGAGTTTGGGCCCCAAATTGACCCGCATCAATCTCGACACTGAATGCCCTGAGCCTCTCCTCCATGATCTATATCATACCTTCCTTGACTATCCTAATGATAACCGGGGTAGCATGAAGGATGCTTCTCGTAACCTCGGCTACGATGAGCTCACATAGCCTCTTGTCGATGGGCCCGGTACCATCGCTCGACCCAGATCCAGATCCCAATCCTGACCCTCTAGCTCCATGTCGTGTCACCACCATACTGAACTGCAATGCCATAAATCATAATGATCAGGATGTACAAATAAGGGATCTTTCCACACCAGTCCTCCTTAAAGCTTTCAGATCTAACATTGGTTTGGGTACAAGTCATGTGCTTTTATTAGTACGGGCCCAATACTACCTTCCACACCTACCTGTACCTTCCCCAAGGCTCTACCTAACAACTCTAATTCGTCCCAAAACAAATCATATCCCACAGACTACCACATATCTCAAATCCTAGGCAATCCTAAGATTTTCTCTATCTACATCAACCACACCAATCATAACAGGTTGCCTTTATGCATGCAAATTATACATAAAAAAGGATCCAATAGACTTTCGAATAATAAATTCTACCCTGGGACCACAACCAGACGAGGAATAGGAAATAAGGCCAAATCAATCATTCTAAGGATATAGGCTCCTAACAATATACAATTTTTAAAGGATACACATAGCAAGATCCACACAATTATCACAACTCAAATATCAGTATAACATGGCTAACATATTGGGGAACTACTTACTTGGCTCGGCCGATCACGCACGTTGCACTCCCCTCTTTTCCATTCTTTAAATTTTTTAACTTAATTTATATTTTGGAAAACAATTTTACCAATTCCTTAGTTTGAGTCCCGATATACCTGAGGGTGTGCCTAAATCCCTCAAACCAAGGCTCTCATACCAACTTGTAACGACCCGATTTCAAAAGAAAATTTTCATTTTTGATTAACCAAAATACTGTCCACAAACCATGAAATCCCAAATATAATTGTTTTCAAAATTCATATCAAATACAATTTTATTTCAAACTTGGTGAATGACCCCACGTTGCGGGGTCAGATGTGAGATTTTTTGTTCAGTTTTATCATCAATAAAAACGTTTTCAAGTAAAAGAATAACAAAGTAATAAATAAAGTAAAATAATAAATGAAATTACAATTAAGTGATTTACCAAGACAAAATGAGGTAATTAGGCAACACGATATCGGTTGTTGGTCCATCGTGGCTTATGTGTGCTATGTTATGAGTTGTTGTACCGTCTAATTACAGGTTTTAGCCAATCTCCTTGCTCGCTGGGAATTTATAAAGTTAATTTGTATGGATAAATGTAATCATGTTAACTCTCACCATTGTTTACAAACAAACCATTATTTTTTCCTATAAGTGTACAAACCACCATTTATAAAAAGTGCCATTAGTCTTAGAACACTTACTTATTTTCATGTCTAAAACTACTAACTCTCACATTCAAATCAAAAGGCTCTCTTTCTGTCTGTTGAATGAAAAATGGACTCTTTCTCTTTGCAAACACTGACTAAGTCATAGATGTAATTTGTCTTTTTATGGCAATAGCCATTAATGCCCACTTTCTTATTTCCCCATGCATTACATACTCCGTGGGAAATTCCTTCCTATGAAGACCAAAAGGAAACATCAGGTTGCGAGTTTTTATTTCACAATTAAACAATTATGAACTGCTTTTGGTAATAATATGCAAAATAAAATCATAGAATGCATTTTTGTAACAGCCCGGAATCCAGTTTAGCTTTATGACCCTTCTATTTTGGAGAGTTGGCAAATTAGTCCCTTGAAGTTGAAAAGTGGATTGGTGAGTACGCTGGGCGTACTGGGGTGTACGCCGCACGTACTCGCACGCTTAATTTGTACGCGGGTCGTGCGCTTAATTTTTATGGGCGTACCCAAGGTTACGACGGGCGTAACCGGCCTAGATGCAAAACCCTAATTCTTGGCTTTTGCACTATAAAAGGAACATGTACTCCTTTGCCCTAGCCACCATACACCCTTGAGTGAGTCCTTGGAGAGCTGAGATTCGTGCTTTAGCTTGTGTGTGTGTTTTTGAGCTTGAAGTTGTCTTTTCAAGGTGAAG